AGTGTTTTTCCCTACTTCTTGAGTGCTCTACCGCTTCCTAAGTGCTTTACAACAGAACAGAGCACAGTTGAGGCTTCTTAATTTGTTTCATGATAAAGAATCCGATAATTTCCCCAAGGATTTGGCTGAATTTTCAAACCAAACTTTATTTTCCAAACGAACACAAAAGTGGCGTCAGCCGTGCACTGTTCTCTGTTAAAGCACGCTGAAATAAGCCAATCACAATCCTTGTTAGAATTGTTCAAATAATTTGATTGCCTAGCAAAGCGATAGCTGTCAATCACAAACTGGACTTCAGCTAAGCTTTCAGTTTTGAGTAGTTTGAGCGGCTTTTGCGAGAAGAATGATGCCTTTGAAGTTCGCTTTTAAGTTAATTTTTAAATACAGATCTCAAGGTAGGTGAAGGTAAATATAGTCCAGAGGAATCCAGCCATATTGTGGCCCGTGGAAACGTGCACTTTTCCTGTGGAAATTACGAAACGTGGAGCTCAAGGCGTGTGGATGAAAATGCGAAATGCCGAGTTGAATTTGAAAGGAGCTCCAGCTATTTACGGCTTGTAGCCGCATGCAGCAAGATTGCCCGAACTAGCATAAAAGTTAGAAAGACTAAAAGGCTCGCACTGGTTTTACTTCGAGCACAGAAGAGAATATCAGAGCAAGCTTTGCACTGACCACTCGTCAGTTAACTTTGCTGAGATGACCAGAGAATGAGTGTTACTACACTGCATGTAAGTGTTGTTTGAGCAATTGAGCATTTTACAAAACTAAAGCTTCTCATCATATACAGAGACAGTTCAAATGTTGTTTTCTGTCGTTGTTTTACTTCTTAAGTGTAATTTCTGCCTTCATAACAATGTCTTTTATCGAAGCACTGTCTGGGTTGAGAATTTGTTTATTTCGCTACGTGTTTTGTCGGCGGGAATCTAGCAAAGCTTGTTATCTTAGTACAGTTTTAACATTAATGTTGCTAACAATGGTCTCTGTGAGCCATATTTACTACAGACAAATAGCTCGTTTACATTGCGTTTGTCTGAATCACAGGGAATGTTTAATTTGTCGCAAATTTGTCAAAAAAATTTGAAAGCCAACTTACCATCATCAACCCGTGCTCTGTTCTCTGATAAAGCATGCTCTTTCAGCCAATCAGAGCACACGTATGGAAACTTTATTATAATTACATGTATTATTTATAATGAGTATCATAAAATGTTCAATATTCTATAGCACACATCCAGGACAGGAAAAAAAATTAAAATCCAGTTGCCCAGTAGGCCAGTACATATCAGTTTTTAATATTACTTCTTACTTATCAATTATTACCTGTCCAGTGACAACAAAAATGATGATGAAAAGAAATGCAGAATGTTTCTGCTTTTCGTTGCCATCTTGAATCTACCACATGCTTAATTAGTAGTGCCAGACTTCTGTTGTATGCAACATCCAATATGGCAGCCAGTATGGTGATCCGAGGACGAACGCAAGCAAAGTATGATTGGATTTTGAATAAATCCATGTTTTTAACTCATTGTTTTGCTCATCTTGCAGTCTTAAATTTTGAAATTGTTTTTGATCGGAAAATATTACTAACAAGACCAGTGAGGCTAATTTCACTTGCCCACCGGACCACCAAACTTGCCCAAGAGGAAAATTTACTTGCCCTGGGCAGTGGGACCTGTGTTTTTTCCTGCCCTGACATCCATGAAAATCAGCAATGTCAAAAATAGTGACTTCACAGTAATTACTGCAGTGGAGCTTGAAAGCAGTAAGAAATGAAACACAGAAAACTGCTAACAGATAAAAAAAGTCACAAGAGTACATGTACTATTCTCAGAATTTGTTCAATGGTGTGTTCCTTGTCTATATGTTTACTTAAAGGACTGATGTTTAATTGACTGTATTTACATTTATTTTATTTATTTATTATAAAAATTATTTTTGTTTTTGATCATTTTGGAATGTCCAGGTCTCCCACCCATCAAGAAAGTTTTTTATTGTGAGCATCATTCAGTTGCAAACATGGATGAAGAGGAGGTGGAGAAATTCAGGTAATACAGCCTGTGTACCTTTGACATGTACTGTAGAGTAGATGAATCCTTTAAGACTACCAAGGCTGAATCAACTAATAAGACCACTTGCAAAAAATTGTTTGCCTGGGAAGAAATTCAGAAAAGCACATAGTACATAAAAGTTCTGAGTGCTAAAATAGCAAGTTAGAACCACTTTGTAAAATGTATACATGTACATGCTCACATGATAAACACTAGATGAAGGTGGTGCTCAATACTCTGTAGCTCTCCTTTAAAAGGTCATTATGGTGTCATCTGTGGGAGGTGTGGTGACCTCATGGTTAGTGTGCTTGTCTCTGGATTGAGTGGTCCGGGTTCGAGCCCTGGCCAGAGACGTTGTGTTGTTTTCCTGGGCAAGACACTTCACTCTCACAGTGTCTCTCTCCATCTGGGGTACCGGGGAACTTAATGCTGGGGGTACCCCTGTGATGGACTAGCATCCCATCCAGGAGGGAGTAGAAATACTCCTAGTCATTTCAGAAACCAGGATAAGCTCCGGCCTGATGGGCCACCAGGCTTGTATGCAGACTATGGTGTCATCCGTATTGCTGTTTACATGTACTAGTTACATAGCTTTTATTTTAATGGTTTACTGGTGAGTCTAGATTTCATCCAACCTATTAATGTACCATAGGAAGGACAGTTTTAAAATTTGAAACCTTTTTTTAACAGAGCTTGATGAATCTTTGTTTTGGAAGCTCCTGCCTTATGGGTGAATGACTAGCTTCAAATTCACTCTTCTTGACAAGTATTGACCAATTTTACCTTTCCGTTCTTAGATCTGATAATAACAAAATCATGGTTGAGAACTACGGAGAGACTGTTCAAGGCAGACAGATTCCCAATCCGGTCAGAACATTTGGTGAAGCGTATGCTGATTTCCGTAAGTCTCATTCATTTTTGAAAGTCATCCCAAGGGAGCCCCAAGTATGGCATATTTGTGATCTGTATTTATACATGTACAGTGTATGTCACCAACTCACATCAGCATAGTTCCAGTGTTATGTAAGTTATAGATTGTGCACATTTTTGATGTTGCAGCTGAAATCATGGCAGAAATAGACAAAGCAGGATTCACAAGGCCGTCTCCAATCCAGGTTAGTCAAATGTACATGTTGTAGTTCAGTTTTGCCTCTGGAACGATTTCTTTCTGAACTAGTGCAACATTTTGTATTTCATAGCAAAGTTTAAGAAATGCTACGTGTATCATGGACCATCACCTCCAAAACCAATTATTTATTTTTATAAGTGGATGGAAATTTGATGAAAGGGCTGTTATGTATATACAATGTATATGTTTTACATGCTCAGGGTTGTGACATCAAATTGAAAAAGTCTTTGTCAAATTATGTGGTTTTGTTTTGGAAAAACTGCTGAAAAACTACAATCACGTAATAAGCCGCATATGATATATCAATATTCCAACATGGCTCCAAGGCTTTCAGGACAAAATTGCAAATTTTCAAGATTTCTTTTGTCCAGGCTCAATTCCCAAAAGAGACTTGGATACAAAGAAAACACAATCAAATATAGAAGTTTGCACGGAAAGCCTCGGAGCCGTGCTGGAATATTGATATATTGAATGTGGCCTATTGATCACAATTAATGCTCTCCCTTTGAAAATTCACTTAATTTCTTCATCTTGGAGTTCTAGGGGCATTTTATGTTTGAGCAAAAGTGAGTAGTCATAGTTTTAGCATTGTGTTATCCAAAAATGCAGCAACATTGCAATGATGATGACTGTACGATCTGTGTCATTTTGTTTATTTTAACAGTGTCAGGCATGGCCAGTTATCTTGTCTGGAATGGACTTGATAGGAATTGCACAGGTATGGAATGACCCACTTGTGCTTCTCCAAAGATATTTATTATGGGAAAAAATATCATGGATCAAGTTTAGGTCGTGGTTTTCATACTATTGTCTCAACTATTGTCTCAAAATAAATTACTGTAGTTATTATCAGGCCCTGGTTGTACAGTGGATTGGATAATGTGCGAAATTGTATTCAGGGAGTTGTAGACTCAAACTCCAAAACATACAAGCTAATTAATGAACCAGCCACATAATTCAAAACCTGCAATGAAAAGCGAATTACAATGACTAAACTGCAACGAGGCTAGACTGCAAAATCCGAAACAGCAGAAAGGCTGGCCTAAATCCAAAAGATGGTAAGAAATTACAACTTGTAAAGAAAAGAAATTGGAAAATTATGACAGCAAAGTTCAAACTTGAACAAACAGATAACTCTATCCACTGGATAAATTGCTATCAAGTGGATAGTGCAGTACACTTACAGTGTATACACAGGAAAGCAACTTGTCCAGTGTTTAGCCTGTATACTATTTTGCCATCTTACTGTACTTTTTTTCTTTTNGTTATTATCAGGCCCTGGTTGTACAGTGGATTGGATAATGTACGAAATTGTATTCAGGGAGTTGTAGACTCAAACTCCAAAACATACAAGCTAATTAATGAACCAGCCACATAATCCAAAGCCTGCAATGAAAAGCGAATTACAATGACTAAACTGCAACGAGGCTAGACTGCAAAATCCAAAACAGCAGAAAGGCTGGCCTAAATCCAAAAGATGGCAAGAAATTACAACTTGTAAAGAAAAAAATTTCGAAAATTATGACAGCAAAGTTCAAACTTGCACACATGAGCACATTCTGGGCTACGATTGGCTAAAAAAGATTAAAACCATGTGAAATCACACTTTTGGACAAAACACATACTGAGGTAAGAGGGCTGAGTTGAGAATTCAGAATTTGTAAAGTTTGAACAAACAGATAACTCTATCCACTGGATAAATTGCTATCAAGTGGATAGTGCAGTACAGTGTATATACAGGAAAGCAACTTGTCCAGTGTTTAGCCTGTATACTATTTTGCCATCTTACTGTACTTTTTTTCTTTTAACAGACAGGTACAGGGAAGACACTGGCTTTCCTTCTTCCTGCATTCCTTCATATCGATGGACAAGAAATGTAAATACAAGTCTGTGTATTCAAATAGTATTACATGTATATTAAAATTATTAACTTGGCTTTGTGTATTATTGCTACCTATAATCTATCAGATATTTTAGTTTGTGTGTGATTGGTCTACATGTAAATGCATTCATGTGACTGAATATGCCCCGGTTAAAACTGGGAACATTCTGAAAGTTATGTGTACGTTCCCCAATTTTCAAAACTGCATGTGTTGGGAAAAATATTTGAAGGATAATAACACAATAACCTCCATTTGGCATGAACATAAGCTTTGATATTTGTCCTTGTCAAAACTCACAGTCTCTCTCGAGTCACGCTCTCGCAAAACTATTTTCTTCTCGGAACAGATATTGTCAGTGGACAAATATTCAAGTATATTTTTGTGTCAGATGGAGGCTATTGTTTATATGTTGTATTTATTAGTTTATAATTGTTTTTTCTGTTGCCATTTCAGACCTCGTGAGAGCAGGGGTGGCCCAACAGTCTTGATTTTGTCTCCCACTCGAGAACTTGCTTTGCAAATTGAGGCTGAAGTCAAGAAATTTCATTACAGAGGAATAAGAAGGTTGGTGGAGTTTTCCTAGTAGTAAGGAATTAGATTTCATAGCTTGTTAAGTTTGTTTAGTTTCAATTTGGCTACTCTACAGTAGTTGCATTAAAATCAGTTGCCATTATGATTATTTAGGTTGCATTCCAGAATGGAATGACAGTTCCTCACAGACAGGGTTCAAAAAATGTGCCATCTGGTTGTTTGGGTACAGCTGCCAGGTACATGGAGATTTTCCTGCCAAGCAAGTTACTTTTTATTCTCACTTGCCCGATGGATAACGATCCAGATAAGTCATATGCCAACAAAATTGTGAAAAAAGTAACCTGTGACCTACTGAGGACAAGCAAAATTTGAGAGTTGCATGTCTGAAGGATGAGCTGGAATTCAAGATACTTTCAAGCCCTGTTCTCAGTTTAAGTTCTATTGCCTTTGAATTGGAGTGGCTATGGATCTATAGAACAAAATGCTAGTTAAGTACTAGAACTTAAACATACATTATCCATTAGTGAGAGCTTATCTTTTTACTCTTATTTTCAAGTGTGCTGCATCATATATTGCCTTCATCATATCATGCTGTTTCATTTAAACCAAAGTTCTTCTTTCCAGTGTCTGTGTTTATGGTGGAGGGAGCCGCAAAGGACAAATTCAAGTCGTACAAAAAGGAGTGGAGATTGTGATAGGTGACTACATTACTACAAGTGACACTGCGCTCTATCATATCTACTCAATCACATGAGGTTTTTTACCACACCCTTGCCTGGCATCAAGTGTCCGGAGGAGATGTAGTCCTGTCTCTCAGGCTGCTTGGGTCTAGACCAACAGTAGCTGTTGAAAGCATGCAGTAGACAGGGAGAAGAGTTTTTCGCAGTCTATTGATTCTCCGTAACTTAGAGTTAGAATCGTCCCTTATGAGTCACCAGGCTCAGAACAAAGTACTTTGTACTTGGATGTTACATCGAGTGCAAAGAAACAACTTTGGGGCTTGCCTTTTGTGCAAGCTCTAACTTACTACGATGTGTTAGCTCGAAAATCATACTCACTAACCCTCCAAAATGTTTGTCTGTACTTCTGTAATTTGAATTTCCTCAAAAATTTTCCAAATAATCTCCACTTGCCCGTGAGGCAAATGATGCACAGAATCCACTAGTGAACACAAAAATCCACTAGCCCTGGGCTATTGAACAGGACTTTCTTTCCTTACTGTTACGTACAATACCGCTCAAAAGTAAGTTACCACCCTCTCATGAGACAAGAATCTCATCTCGCAGGACAAGACTCCTGTCTTGTGAGGCGAGACTCATCTTTCAAGACAAGTCTGTCGTCTTCTTGTGAGAGCTTGAAAAAGCTGTAAGTGCATGTATAAGGTGAATCTCCATTTTCCAGATTATGGAAGGTAAATTGAAGTAATTGTACTGACAGATTCTGTTCATGTGTAACATTCTCTCTTTATCAGCCACCCCTGGTCGACTGAATGACCTGCTGATGAATGAAATTATGGATGTCAAAAGTGTTACGTATTTGGTAAGATTAAACCACGTCTTAATTTTGAACTTTTCACTTAATCTCCTTCAGTGTAATACATGTAACTGTGGTGCCATTCTTTTCATTGTTTAAGGTTCTTGACGAGGC